CTGGGGCAGGTGCCTGTGCTGGTGGCGGGGGGGAGCGGTTCTGCAGCCCCTGGCTCTCCTCTGCCCATGGGGTGACATGCCTGGGTAATTTCTCCGGCAATTAATGCCTCATTAAAGCACACAAGGGAACAATCAGGGCAGTGAATTTTACACAGCACAATGGCTGAGCCCCAGAGGCTTTCTGCCTTTTTTTTTAAAAAAAAAAAGGAAACAGTATTTTTTTGGCCTTAGCTGCTGGGTTGGCTGAAGGCAGAGCTGGAGCCTTGGTGGGCATCTGCATCCCCAGCCACCCCCTGGGTTTACCCCCCTGGGTGCACACCCTCGTGATGAGATTTTCCTCTTCCCCCTTTTTACAACCCTTTGCGGCACTTGGCACATCCAGGATGCGTAACCGGTCTGGAGGCTGGGATGGAAACCAGCCCTGGCTCAAAACATGTGTGTCGAGATGTTGGTCACCACTGCCCAAACTCCCTTGGGTGGAGGAGAAGGGATCAGGATGGGTTTCCAGGGCTGGGAGGGGGTCGTGGGGGACCTCCGAGGGGGACTGACAACCTGCAAGTGCTCTCTGGATGGTGCTGCCAGTGGGGCAGAGCAACAGGGAGTCCCTTCCCGGGGACAGACCCTGGGGGGAACGAAGGGGAGGCTGAGACGAGGTGAGGGGCAGGGGACTCCTAGGAAGGCTTTGAAGGTGAGGAGGTGACTGGTGGGATGTGACAAGGCAGAGTCCCTGGCTGGCAGGAGGAGAAAGGCGGTAGTGGTTGGGGAGCCCCTGGGCATTTCTGGCCGGGGTTTGGGACTTGGCTCCCACTCATCCCAGTTGTGCCATCAGGTCAGAGTGGCCGTGCCTCGAGCCCTGACCGTGTCCCTGTTTCTCCCCAGGAGCCTGATGCCACGGACGCTGGAGGGGCAGATCACGATGGAGAAGACCCCCAGCTACTTCGTCACCAAGGAGGCTCCGCGACGCATCTACAACATGTCTCGGGACACGAAGCTGATCGTGGTGGTGCGCAACCCCGTCACCCGCGCCATCTCGGACTACACGCAGACGCTCTCCAAAAACCCTGCCATCCCCAGCTTCCAGGCCCTGGCCTTCAAAAACGTCAGCACGGGACTGATCGACACGAGCTGGAGCGCGGTGAGGATCGGGATCTACGCCAAGCACCTGGACAACTGGCTGCAGTACTTCCCCCTCTCCAAATTCCTCTTCGTCAGCGGGGAGAGGCTCGTCAGCGACCCGGCCGGGGAGATGGGCCGTGTCCAGGACTTTCTGGGTCTCAAGAG